ATCATCAGGGAAAAATCGTCTCACAATAGAGGCTGTACGGAAAAACAAACTACTTATAGGTTATAGGATAGTGGGGAGTATACAAGGTGAGGTGTGAAGAAAAAAAACTTAAGTGGGAGAGAAGACGAAAGAAATTAGCAGAAAAGATGTGAGAGTGTTCAGACGGTGTGAGCTACTACAAAAGGTGAGTGAAATGAAGGCGTGGAAGCAGGTGAATGTGATAGAGTGAGGAAGTGTGAGGTGTAGGTGTATGCGAATGAATATGTGTGTGAATGCTAGGTCACATTCACCTGCTTCCACGCCTTCATTTCACTCACCTTTTGTAGTAGCTCACACCGTCTGAACACTCTCACATCTTTTCTGCTAATTTCTTTCGTCTTCTCTCCCACTTAAGTTTTTTTTCTTCACACCTCACCTTGTATACTCCCCACTATCCTATAACCTATAAGTAGTTTGTTTTTCCGTACAGCCTCTATTGTGAGACGATTTTTCCCTGATGATAGTCTCAAGAAAATCGATTAGGAACAACCATCTTAGATACATGTATTCTCATTCATCATTTTTGTAATGTCCGCTTCACTTATACTATTAATCGCATTAATAAAATTGCGGATTTGGGCCAAATTACGAAATTTGTTGCATCGTATATCTACTCGGGAGTAGTCCGAGTCGTACTGTGCACATAACCTACCAGGATCATGGAAAGCACTGCGTGAAAAGTGCATAAAAAGTGAGATATAGTGCAGAAAACAACAAAAAAACGCGGGAAATCGCGGATTTTGCTGAAAATCACGGGTTTGGGAGAAAATCGCGAAATTTGTTGCATCCGTGGAATCGCGATTTCCTGGAGGGACAGACCTGCACACAGTAGCAGTGACAATACATGCAATGGAAGGCGAAAGGCCACTCTATAATTATTATGAAGTCCATGTCACACGCTACATCTCCAGGGAGGAGGTCATGGCCTTTTAAAAAGCCGCACATCGTAGGTCAACAGCATGGAGGTATTCTGGCAACATCCCGTAGAGTTCTTAGTGCATTACATGTAATGTGCATGTCAGTCATTTCGGATTGGACAGACATGTTGCTCACACTCACATCGCACACGTACACGCACTTGATTAGATCACTCATACGTTACTAGGATAGCGGGTTCACCTTGACAATATCCACCCCATTACAGTAGTAGCAAAACTAAACTCGGCAAAGACGTGCTTGTAGTTGTGCACAATAGTGCCATTGGCATTGTACGTGAAAGACAATTGCATGTACATAATAATAATTATATGCTACAGTACTGCATCGTAGTAGTGCCGGAATGTGCCAATGCCATATTCTGAGGTCTCAGCGGAAGGATCTGTGAAGCAGACTATGGACGCAGACTAGCTGCATCCACACAGTCATGCCACTGGCATTGGCGGTCTGTGTGGGTCCATGTCGATGATGATAGCTTGGCACTGACAGAAGGGACCCCAGCCATGCAGGGCCAGGTATCCCAACAACCGTCAACGGCTGGACAGCATGCTGCTGCTTGACCTGACCTGTTCTGCTGTGCATATGCGTTGCATGTCGTGCCCACTAACAGTTGGTGTCTCGCCTGGCTATATCATACCACTCGCCGCCACGACAGGTCAGGGAGACTGTGTGTACCTTGTCTCCTATTCATTGGTGCTCTAACAGTGGCAGGACGGAGTTAGGAAGGCTTTTTAGCAGCACCGACAGCAGCCCACAAGCCATGCCAGCGAACGCGTGGTCAGACTCAGCAGTAGTCCTACTCAGCAGTGATCCGAGCTCCGGCTCCTGCTCCGGCTCCGTCCTTGCGACCGTATCTCTCTCCAGTCCTCGACATGATGCCTGACAGTCTCACTCTCAGTGTATTCTACATACTCGCATGGTTCTAACTCCGGAGCTAAAACTGATTTACTCTGTCGGCGGAGTAGCAGTGTCGACTTTGTCAAGGCAGAAACAACATCACAATTTCTCTGTGCTTGGTACTAGAACATTTCAACTTTCTGCGCTGTGCTAGTTGTGGTTAGCAATATACACTGACCAGCTTTGCTGGTTGATCCTCCCCCTTCCGGAAAGAAGCTTCCTTCTCGTGACTCTAAACGATGAAACTGTTAGCTGTCTTTCTAGCTGTGGCGGTAGTATGTTGTCACCTGCAACTGTTGGTGCGATGCCAGGAGCCAGGCGCGTCTAGTGATGTTCGTCTACGCGCTGGTGCTACACCGTGTGATGGCCGAGTGGAGATTCGTGATGCCAGCACAGGAGAATGGCAAGCGTCTTGTGACCACGGCTGGGACTACCGTGACGCCGGTGTCGTCTGCAATCAGGTCGGCTGTGGGATGCTGCACGAGGTCACACAACTTGGTCTATATCCACCACCGACAGGCGTGACGCCACCGCTTCGTTCACTCTACAACTGCAACGGACAGGAGGCGACGTTGGCCCGCTGCCATCAGAGCCCAGTGGTGAACGCTTCACTCTGTCGCCGTGGTAACCAGGCAGGTGTCCGCTGCAGAATGCCATGCTTGTCCGGTGATCCGTACGGACTGTCGTATCGCGGTGGAGTAACACGCGAGGCCTACCTCCGTGGTTTAGACCTATCACGAAGACAAGAGCTAACTGGACCAGTTGTGTTGGGAAAGCGTCGGAGAAAGCGAACACCACTACACTGTCCCGCGTATCGCTGTCCATATCCTGGACCAATTGAGAACGGCGACATCCTAGGAGCTTACTATGAGTTCTACGGAGTCGGGACGATCCTGGGCGTGCGTTGTAACAGGGGATACAAGCGACTGGGTCCATCTTGGATTTACTGCGGACACACGGGCTTCTGGAGTGATGATCATCCACTGTGCCTACCAGGTAAAGACACTCAAAGTCGGACACAGACATTATTACTGCATGACTTTAAGGTTGATGGTACTGATGTAAGGTAGGTAGTTGTCCTGCATGCTGAGATGAGAGCCACCAGTCAGGTACATGTACTTGAAGTAGGCAAGACGAGCATAACAGTGCAATGTAAATGACCTGTTCAAATATCACTGGTATTGCGAACATGGTGAGAGGGGAGCGGGGGCATGGTACATGCGACACGATAAAGAATACCGGTAGGTAAATGAGCTGATAGTATACTGTAGCAACATGTCCACGCCAGTCCATGGCGAGCTGCATGTAAGACGTAGGAAGCATCCATGGAACGTAGATGAATGGTACTTCCGATGCACACGCTTTAAAAAGAGCCTCCATTTTATGTCCTCTACCCTCCAGTTTCAGCCTAACCGAGTCGTGCGGCTTTTGCTTTGGGTGCGTTCATAGCATGGAGAAAACGTTCACCACTGCACACAGCACAGCAGAGCATGCCATACGGTTTTATGTAACGGGAGGAGCAAGATGAAGAAAAAATGGAACACCCTCAGTACAGCTCCATATACCTTAGAAAAAGGAACAAGCCACTTGGCTACCAGTACACGCTCAAAAGCTGCTTCCATCACATCACATCAATCAGCTCGAGTCAAACTTGACTATCCTATGAAAAAATGATGTTGGCAGGCGCCCGGGGATATAAGCAGAACAAACTGAATATTATGGTAAAGTTAACTCAAGCGAACACTTGACAATACCGACACAGGGGGTGACATATCACAATACATGTACTAACACACATACACATAATTATTATACTAACACATAACATTTAGTCATTCACACATGATGGTGTTACAGTCAGTACTAACACAAGGGATTACATATCATGCTCATGAACTCTACTGTGAATATCATCGTTTCCGGAGGTGCTTGACAAAACTCCACAAAGGCATAATATTATTATCATGTTGATAGCACAAACAAGATGGGAAAGCATTACAATCATGTACATGTACATTGTACATCGCACCATCATTGAATCATGTGCTCTCCGGCGTGTTCTTTACCATTATCGGTATTGTTTTGTTGTTTGCTGGTCGCTCTTTAGTGTGAAATTGGAGCACAACTAGTAATAACTCGCTACATTCTGTCCACAATGTGTGAATGTTACCACGTATATTATTTTCCCCTTTTCACTGTTTGTTCTGCTTATGTAGCCGAGAATTGCTCCTGCTCTATTTTTCAGATTATGGTTAAAGGTTGGTTAAACCGTTTTGAACTGATGAACTTGATGTAGTGGAAGCAGCTTTTCTGTATAACGAAGTGGCGTCTTGCTCCTTTTCCCTGAACAAGATCAGCACCGGATAATATCCCTTATACATGTAGGCAACTTCCCAGTAATCGAGAGTGAAACCAGATCTCTCTCTCTCTCTCTCTCTCTCTCTCTTTCTCTCTCTCTCTCTCTCTCCTCTCTCTCTCTCTCTCTCTCTCTCTCTCTCTCTCTCCTCTCTCTCTCTTCTCTCTCTCTCTCACTCTCTCTCTCTCTCTCTCTCCTCTCTCTCTCTCTCTCTCTCTCTCTCTCTCTCTCTCTCTCTCTCTCTCTTTCTCTCTCTCTCTCTCTCTCTCTCTCTCTCTCTCTCTCTCTCTCTCTCTCTCTCTCTCTCTCTCTCTCTCTCTCTCTCTCTCTCTCTCTCTCTCTCTCTCTCTCTCTCTCTCTCTCTCTCTCTCTCTCTCTCTCTCTCTCTCTCTCTCTCTCTCTCTCTCTCTCTCTCTCTCTCTCCAGAGCAACGTTTGGGAC